GAGAGAGAGAGAGAGAGAGAGAGAGAGAGAGAGAAAGAGAGAGAGTGTGTTTGTTTGTTTGTTTGTGTGTGTGTGTGTGTGTTGTTTGTGTGTGTGTGAGTAAGTGTTTGTGTGAGAGTGAACGTGAATGTGAGTGTCTGTGTGTCCTTCCATCATCATCTCCTACGTCTATGCGGCAGGTGGATCACCGAGATGCTGAGTAACGGTAGCTCCCTCCTAATTACCGTCCTTACCCGCCCACAGGACCTCGTAAGCACATGTTTGCGCGACGGTGTGTTTTTACTTGTTTGTTCGTATAGTTTGGCAAACTGTAAGCATCAAAATGGTACTTCAGCCTTGTTTTGACTTTATACATCAACCCAACGCAGCTTAAATAAAACGGAAAATCATTAAGCCGTAATTTAAAATGATTCAGAGGATTTCGAAAATGACAAATTCCTAAACACCTAAACCAGTAATGCAGCATGTTTGTGAAAGAGACAATCTTCAGCATCGATCAGAATATCACACTGTTCTTTAGCCGAATTGAAAAGTTATTAATGGCTTCCCTAATTTATGGGAAGGGACCCCTAATCTGAGGGCGTCCTAAAACACACAACAAGCAAACAATCATACACACAAATGCGCAAACACCGAGTAAGGGTAAAATAGCGGAGAAACGGCCATAATGGGATTCCAGGACAAAAGATTGCAATCTACGACAACCACGCTTGTAGATGAAACTTTTCTCTAATGAGTCTGAAACATCCTTTTGATTATACGTTCAGATAAACATGATTATTTCGAAAAATAAACAATGTACGCTTATCAACTTGTTCAAATAAAATATGATTAAACTGCGTCTGCATACGCTAGGAAAACAAGCATTACCAGAACCGAAAAATGACAAGCTTCTTATTGTGTTTAAGGTCTTACAATTTATTCTCAGCTGCTGAATAGACCTCTAGTGCCCCACATCACTGCACCTTTGTAGAGTTTCCCAGTTTAAATTACGTTCCACAAATGAAGTAATCTTAAATCAGACACAACATAATTTTCAGTTTCCAACATAAAGGATACTTACCTTCTGACTATTAACTTGGGGGTGGGTGGGGAGAGATAAAGACAATAGATGTCTAATAGGAAAGAAGGAGCAAACCACACCAGAACACCCACAAACCACCCACGGTTAGTATCTACGTCTCCCGGCAAGCAGTATCAGGTATTCGGCACACAATCACTGACTCTCAGAGTACTCACTAGAGACATCGACCGACCTAGCCCACGCACAGACCACAGTCGTCACTGCGTGAGCCAGTCCAATGTGCTTCTTATATATTATAGCTGTGGACTCATTTTTCTCATTACGCAGGAGCCATAGACGTGATAAAAGGGATAGAGGGCGCGATGTTTATTTGTTTCTTTGAGTAAAGAGAAGCATTAAATCGACACTACGACGCTCAGTCATAGCAGGGAGAAATGTACACAAAAACAGTGCAGGGAAAGAAACGAAGTAGAACCTACCAGTGGTGTTCTTCAACCAAGCGCAAGACGGGGTGTAAGGACAAAGAATTGTGTTATACGATGAAGAATTGCGCCATTAAAAACACAATTCAGGACATTTCGGGGGTGGGGAATCTAGTCCCGCGATCAGAACATTAGGATGAGAGCAATAACATTCCGGGACGGACGGGGTTCAAACCCCCGAACATTCCGCGCTCAACATGAGAACAATCTAACCGCGCTGCTGGCAGCCGCCGTGACTTACTCCTGTTGTCACAGTA